GTATACTCCGATCATAGTTTTGAATATTGCTTTCATTGTGCTTACGTCTTTTGATACGGTAAAACATAAAAATGAATTCGAAAAATATGTTGAGTGAAAAATTAAAACCATTACGGGTCGTTAATAATTATAAATTTCGATTCTATCGTACACTAGCGAATGACGTACAACGGTGGGTATGTTGTAAAAAAAACATGTAATGCGGCTATAAAATACGATGTTAATGGTACTATTTGTGAACAAAATACAACACATAATCATGAACCAGATGATCTTCAATCAATATTACGGCAAAAGGTTAGTAACAGTGTTAAACGTAAGGCAGTAGAGCAGTTTAGTGAGCGCCCTTCTAAAATTATTCATTCTGAGATGTCAAGTACAGCACTAAGTGTACTCGACTCAAATGATATTTCTTTGATTAGGAAAAATATACATACTGCACGAATGAATATTTATCCGAAGTTGCCACGTGACTTTCCACAATTGCATGCGACGCTTCCTGACGTAATGAATAAAAATACTGACGAAAAATAATGAAAAATGGATTTTTATAAATGATGTTCAGAACAATATAGTGTGTTTTACAACTCAGATAAATCTTGATTTTCTTAAGCAATGTGATTCAATTTTTATGGATGGTACTTTTTCAAGTTGTCCTTTTCCTTTTAAGCAATTTTTTGTAATTCATGGATTTAAAAATAGCTCATATATACCATTGTTTTTTTCGTTATTGCCTAGTAAATGTCATAATGCGTACAAGACTGTATTAAATCATCTCAAAAATCATTTATGTGACTATATCCCAAATAGAGTTTTCAGTGACTTCGAACAGGCTATTCACACAGCAATTAAAGACGTGTGGCCTACTACAAATTTGAAAGCATGCCGTTTTCACCTAGGGCAAGCATGGTTTCGCAAAATGTAGTCATTAGGTCTAGCAAAACCATATATGAAACCCGGTGAAATGTCCGAATATTTGAAACTTTTTTTCGGACTTCCGTTTCTACGACCAGATGAAGTTGACGATTGTTTTGTCACAGATATTATGGCTCTTCTTCCACCTAATAATTCAAAATTGACTGCATTTACAGACTATATTTTAGAAGTGTATGTAAGGGAAGATTCGAGATATCCACCGTCATTATGGACTGAATGTTCGTCTTCAATAACACGAACAACCAATGCATGCGAAAGCTTTCATTCAAAGCTCAATAGCATGTTTTACCACTCTCACCCTAATATTTTTATATTTATTGACGCTTTAAATGAAATTCAAACGAATGGCTATTTAAAAATGAATTGTACAAAAACCAGTCGTGTTAATAAAATTTCAATAGAAAAAGAGCATTTTTTAGCGCAACAAATACAGTATTACGAAGAAGGCGAAATAAATCGGCTTGAATATCTAAAGTCGATTTCCTTTAAATTTATACCTACAAAATTTTAAAATTTATAAATACTATATTTTAACACAATTTATATAATAATTATTATTTGACAGTATTGTACATATTATATTATATTATACTTTGACACAAGTTTAACCACGTAATTTAAACATAAATATCAACATTTTTAACCATACCTACACAATAAATAATAGTGTAGACAGTCTTAAGTCTGTTATCTTTTCGATATAAATGGGAAGGAAAATGTTGATTAATACATTTTTCTAAATTAAATAAGTAAACCAAATATTAATTTCATAGTTATTATTATTTGAGTGACCGCAACTAGTATGTAACCTTTTTGGTGGTCGACCGCAACTAGTATGTAACCTTTTTGAGGGGGGACCGCAACTAGTATGTAATTTTTGATAATGACCGCAACTAGTACACACCGTTTGAAATTATAAAACAATACATTTTGTTTTCCAGCACATTTTTTATGTGCCCATTTCTTACATGAAGTACACTCAATTCAATCTTCTCCCTTGCGACTCTTTGAATAAGCTCCCAAACAAACTATACAAAAGTAATCATCCTCTTCATCAGAACTTACTATATTAGTCTTAGGTTTTGATTTTTCCTTAGGCTTATTTTTGGTGTTCAATTCTACAAAGTTTCTTTTCTTTTAATTTCAAATTTTTGGCTTCCTTTTTTCTATTACTTTTTTCTTGTTCTTTTCTTAATTTTTCTTTTTCTGGTGTATTAGTTAGTATTGTAGATTTAATTTTTTTTCTTGCACGGTTATTTTTTTCTATCTCCTGCTTTTGGAAAAGGTCTGATTTCACTAGGTGTTACTATTTCAGGTATACTTGTGGATAAATTAAGACTTTATGGTTTATTGACTGTTAATGGTGGTTGTGTATTGGACGTTAAATTAATGTCTATGTTTTGAGCTTGAATAATTATTGGCTGTTCAGTATTATGGTTTTCACCATCTGCAGTATATGTTCTATCAGTAACAGAAGAACTTAAATAATCTTCATCTGTAAAAATATTTCTATTATATGGCCAAATTCCTGTTTTTTTATATCCAGAAAGTATATTTTCTGGAGTAGCTGCCAATGGAAGAGTCTCTTTTACTATAGTTGGTATATTATAAATACTAATTGGAACACCTGGGTGCGAGTCCATCCAACCACTTGCTGCAGTATAATAAAATGTTTTGAAAGGACCATATACTGATACATCTAATGGCTGTAAGTGGTTTGTTGTATGTGGAAGAAACGATAATAAAATTATACCATTATCTATGCAAAAATCAAGTACAATAACTGATAAATGTGAAACATGATTATCCAACAATAATAGTACAGGAGATGATGGACTACAGCGAATATGTTTTTGAAAATGTTGGACAAACTGGAGAAATGATGAAGCAGTTACTTGGGATGACTTGTTCCAATACAACCAATAGGCCCATTATTAATAAAATGACTCTTAAAGTTAACTCTTGGGAAAATAAGCATAGGTGGTAATGAGTTACCAATGGCATTAACAACAAAGACCATTGTAACTGTTTTGCCTTTTTCTCCTGATGTAGCTCTACCTACTTGTTTTTTACCCTTTTCAGCAATTATTTTTGTTGGTTTTTGAATTGTTGTTAGCCCGGTTTCATCAACATTCCACACACATTACCATCAAATTTTATTTTTGGTATAAAGAATGCAAATTATCAAAAAATATACCAACATTATTTTTATTAAAACTTGTAATTCGTTCAAGGCTAGTAGCTTCAGAAGAACGTAAGGACAAATTAGGTTCTCTTTTTAAAAATGATGAAAACCAATCTTTAGAAGCTTCTTTATAAGTATTCCAGCTTTCAGGATATGAAACATTGTTTAATTTTGCATATTCATATGCTAATTTTTTTACATTTGAAGGAGTTAAACCATAGTATATTCTAGAACAATGAACTAAATAAATTGATAATTGATTTTCTAATTCATCGGAAAATATTTTTCTAGGTTTTGCATAACCAACAAGTGTACAGTTTTTATCGATTCTAGGACATTTCGGCACAGCCGTTTCGGCACGGCTGTTTCGGCACGAAGACATATCGGCACTGGCTATTTCGGCGCGACGTTATTTTTTAAACAAAGAATATTACTATAACTATTATGAAAAATAACCGTAATAAAATCGTCAAAAGTACAAACCAGTCTTAAGTTAAATATAGCAAATATTATGTAATGTAAAAACCATCTATATTGGTAAGATAAAGGTAGGTATCTACAGCAGTTAAGATAAACCGATGAATTTGTAAATGTGTAATGTATCGACTATAAAGCAATCGGTGTAATCCAGTCTAATACTTGATCTATCATAATTTTCGTACAAAAATGTTTAATTAAAATGTCTAAGTTACTATCAAATCGCGGACGTGAAATTTTACCAATAGACGGTTTCATGTATATTTTTGATAAATTTAATTATAACCATACAAAGCGATTTTGGAGGTGTTGCAATAAAGATATATGTAATTGTCGAATTCATACTGGAATCGATGATTATATTATTCAAAAATAAATTAATGATCATACGCATGATTCGGAGGCGGCTAAAATTGAAGTAGAGGCTGAAATTACAAAAATAAAGACACGTGCATTTCAAACAATGGAGCCTACATCAGTTGTAATAAACAAATGTGTTGGACCGTTATCGGAAGCAGCTGAAGTAAGTACAAATTTCAAACAGCTTTTTATTTTTATAAGGCCCGTTAATTCAAATTTAGGAACGATAATAATCCGACGAACGCGGATTCCGGTTCGAGTCTCTCTAGTCCAAACAAGTATTTTTTTTTAATTAAATTATTTAAAAAGATATTTTTTGTTATTTACATTCAGGCCACTTTGCCAAATAATTCAACATTGAAAAAAAACGGTTCGTCAAAAACGTCAAGAAATCCAAATGGCACCACATAATCCAATTGACCTAACTACACTAGACATCCCACCCGCTTATACTATGTATTCTCCATCAAACGGTAATGAGGAAAAATTTTTACAAAGTGATAGTGGTCCGGGTCCTAAAAGAATATTAATTTTTGCTCAATCTAAGAGTCTTTATATTTTGGAGAATTCGAATACTTAGTACATGGATGGCACATTTAAAGTTGCACCTCCATTATTTAGTCAAGTTTATGTAATAGCGGAATATTTACACAGTATTCTGCCTATGGTATTTATTTTACTCCCTGATAAACAATTAGTGACATATTATCAGATGTTTTTAATGCTAAAAAATTTAAGATCGGCTATAAAACCTAAATCAATTTCATGCGATTTTAAACAAGCTGCCATAAAATCAATAAAAAAAATAATTTCCTGTTGTTAAAATATATAGGTGTTTATTTCATTTGTCGAAAAATTTTAAAAACTCGATACAATAATGACGTTGTTTTTTCTATATCAATTAAAATGATAATTTCATTAGCTTTTGTAAGATTAGAGAACCTAGATTTTGCAGTTGATTTATTGGCTCAAAATATCGATGAAGAGTTAAATAATTTATTAGAATGGTTCAAAGATAATTATATAGGTCGAACTAACCGTAATGGTCGGGGAAGAAGAAATGCGCGTTTTCCTCCAGAAATTTGGAATCTTTATGATAGTTTTAAATTCTGAAAATAGAACAAATAATCATGCTGAGGCAGCAAATAGGAAATTAAATATTGAAATGGGAGTATGTGGGCCAACAATTTGGACATTTATAAATTGCTTGAGAAGAGTTCAAACAGGCCACGATTTTTCCATAACGCAACTAATTGCTGGAGGCAGTCTCCCTAAAAAATAAAAAAAATACACTGACCTAAATCGTCGATTATATAAATAGTAAGCGAATATAATAAAAGAAATTGCATTGATTATTTGAAGGGAATCGCACATAATATTTCTTTAAAATAAATTTTAATTTTATATTATTAACATTTTGTGCGTTGTAATTAAAAAGCAAGTCGAGGCACAAAATTTACTTTTGATAACAAAATACAAAAATATGTCGTTAATTCTATATACATTGACGCGGTCCCGCGTAATATCTGTTTGAATCCAAACGGCCTTTACGCGGAAAACCGCGGAACGAATTCTCTATCCAACCGCCAGCGACGACAGACGACGCCGACGCACGATAACGGCGTCGGAACGTCTTGACCGCCGATACCGCGAACCGGTCCGACGACCGGAGTTTAGTGATGGGCGGTATTGAATAATTTGTACTATCGATTATTATTCGATTATTCATATAAACTTTCGAATAATATTATGCAAGACTGAATAATAAAAACTATCGAATAATCTGTCCCCCCAGGGGGGGTGCTAAGTAATTAGCACTACGGGTTTGGCGAACCCGGGGCCCCGAGCTACGAGCTGGCTTTAGCCAGCTGGCTCGATCTGGTCCTCCAGGTTGGGGGTTTGGCGACGGGCTAACAACCCGTCACTGTAAAAAATCTAATTGTTAAGAAACCAAAACTAAAGCCTCGGGACAGAGATCTGGACAAAACACAACGGAAACGGCCTGGACTACAAGGATTTAGGATTGGCACTTGGAATGTAAGAACGTTATATAAAGCAGGAGCGCTTAATACACTAATCAATACAATAGATAGATATAAGGCAAATATAGTAGCGTTACAAGAAACGAGATGGCAAGGCGAAGGATGTATAGCAACATGTAACATGACATTATTCTATGGTGGTGTAACAACAAATAGACATGAAAATGGTGTGGGTTTCCTTGTACACAATAGCCTAATACCATGGGTTAAACAATTCAAGGCTATTAATGACCGAATATGTTACATCCGGATTAATATGAACCACCGAGACATGATTATTATTTGCGCATACGCACCCACCGAATCAGGAAATAAAGAAGTGAAAGATGCCTTCTATGAAGAGCTGGAACAAGTATATGACACTATACCAAGTCATTGCATTAAAGTATTATTGGGAGATATGAACGCTCAAGTGGGTAAAGAAAATACATACAAAACGACGATTGGAGAACATAGCTTACATGACCGAAGCAACGATAACGGAGTAAGATTAATTAACTTTGCAATACGTAAAAATATGGTAGTAAGCAGTACAAGATTCCCGCGGAAAAATATCCATAAAGAAACGTGGCTATCCCCGGGAGGCAGGTATAGTAGTCAAATTGATCATGTCCTCATAGAAAATAAACATAAAACGATTATAAAAAATGTCAAAAGCTACAGAGGAGCAGACGCAGACACAGACCATTACTTAATCCTAATTGACTTCAGAGTAAAGATGTCAATGGAATGGAAAAAGAAACAAAAAATACTTGAAAAATATGATGTGGATAAATTAAAAAACAAGGAAACATTACAGACATATCAAGAAACAGTGACAAATCTCTTAGGAAGAAGAGAGGGCTTCGACACAGAACAGATTGAAGAATCATGGATAGCAGTTAAGACCTCAATAACGGAATCAGCAGAAAAAGTTATCCAACTTACACAAAGAAAAAAAACAAAGAAATGGTTTAATGATAATTGCAAGCAAGTAATCAGGGAACGTAATGAAGCTAGAATCAAAGCAATACACACACCAACTCCAGAGAACATAAGGGACTTCGAAAACAAAAGAAGAGAAGTGAATACACTGATAAGAAAAGAAAAGAGGATAGCAGAAAAAGAACGATTAGAAGACATCGAAAACCTTAAACACAACCCCAGAGAATTCTTCAAACGTTGCAAAACATTTAAAAATGGATTTGTGCCTAATATACGGATGATAGAAGATAATAATGGTACCCTAATTACAAAACCGGAAAATATTGCCGAGGAATTTAGATCGTACTTTGAAAAAATCCTTAACAGAGACTCAACAACAGGAATAGGTGAACAAGACGACACCTTATACTACACAGCGGAACCAGAAGTACCAAGTCCTAGTCTAGAAGAGATACAGTATGCGATACAAACTCTAAAAAATAATAAGTCTCCAGGAGATGATAAAATTGCCGCTGAGTTACTGAAGTTAGGAGGACAAAACTTAACAAAAAACTTACATGACCTAATTCAACAGATATGGATAAAGGAAAAGATACCAAAAGAATGGAATGAGTCATTGATATGTCCAATTTTCAAAAAA